AGCCTCTCTGCTCCTATGATGCTGCTTGGCCTGCTGTGTTCATCCAGCCCTGCACCTTGTTGATGACAGGAAGAGTCTTGTTAATGAAGATTATAACTTAATCTGACTGGTGCCCACCTATCACCACCCCCCCTACCCAGCACCACCACCACCACCACCACCACCACCCACCACCCCAAATGGGCCATTCAGCCCCAGATGCCTGCTCCACCACTCAATAAAATGAAGGTTGATTTGATCATAACTACTACCTCACATTCCCACTTACCCCTGGTAACCAAAGAAAAGAAAGGGGACAATTTTTCCAAAAGCAACTATAACTGTGTGTGACTTGAGCACAGTTGGGTGAATAAGCATCGTGTCCACATCTGACCTATCAAGTGTGGAGGACTTATTGTTTATTAATTAGAAAAGAATAACACACTGGATGTTGCTGTTCAGGACGCAAATCAATCAACATGTGTCTTAATGACAACCACCCAGTCGCTCTGATCTCAATAATCATCAAGTACTTTGAAAAGCTCGTCATGATCCACATCAACTCCAGTCTCCCAGTACGCTTCAATCCCCTTCAATTTGCCTACCAATGTAACAGATCCACAGAGCATGCCATATCCCTAGCCCTGCACTCATTTCTGGAACATGTCAAACCTGCAATCTACTTATGGGATTACCATAACACAGGTTAGTTTTGCCTGATATACAGAGTACACTAAATGATTACTTTTGAAAAAAGTAAAAAAGAAAGAAAACTTCAAACGTGTATAAGGAGTTGGGGAGGACGGATGTGCAACAGTCAGTTGGTTAGCTCAGTTGGCTGGAATGCTGGCTTGCGATGCAGAGTGATGCCAGCAGTGCGGGTATGATTCCAGTACTGGCTGAGATCATCAGAAGGCCCTGCCTTCTCAACCTTGTCCATCCAAAGGTGTGGTGACCCTCAGGTTAGACTCACCACCAGTCGTCTCACTCTAATGAGACAACAGGACTATGACCGCTGTACCTTTAAACTAAAGTACACCAACATAAAATAATAAAAGCAGAATACTGCAGATTCTGGGACTCTGAAATAGAAAGAGAACATGCTGGAGAAACCTAATAGATCTGGCACTATCTGCGGAAAGGGTAACATGCATTACCAAAACAGGATGTTCCAGAAATATCTCAATCTGCTACACTGCTTTGTCATTGAACATATGCTTTCAAACATTCTATTCATTGAAAAGGTTTGATCTCCAACTAAAAATCAAAGCTAATCCCATTCTATTAAAATCGGTTTAGTTATATTACAGATATGGTAATGTAATAAAATCATTGAATATTATCAATGCACTGCAGTGGACTGATAACGTGGTGCTAGTGTATGAACATTTACTATACTGGTGACAAGTTCTTTTTCCTTTTGCCTAGTTTTTTTAATGAAGATGTTATTTCATTCAAAATAAGTAGTTTACAACTTCATTAAAATAGGAGGTAAAGGAATTTTGAACGACTTGGATTAAGTATTTCTACATTATTTTTACTCAATGCAGTTACACGGGCAAGGGATTTAATTTATCATCCAAATTTCATCATTCATCAGTCCAAACCATTGTGCATTGCACATGACATGGAAAATATTTAAAGAGAAAATAAATAATCGGTTTCATTTTGTAATAACCTTTTCCCACAGCAAAATAACACATTTGGTGTATTTCAAAATTCAGTTCAGACTTGGGAGCAAATACAATAAGAGGAAATTACTAAGAAAATAAGAACACATCATTCCAAACTGTTGGAGTGGAGATTTCATACACAGCTTGATCACAAGTGTAAAATTTCCAGTTTTCTGCACTAGATACTATGACTTAATCTCTCTTTTTGGATTTCTTATGCTTGTGCTTTTTATGCTTTTTCTTCTTGTGCGATCGTTCAATTTTTTCCAAATGCTTATGTGCCTTGACAGCTGGATTGTCCTCCTCACTGTTTGAGTCCAACGATTCAGAAGAATTAGAATCAGACAAAGGTAACTTGCCTTTACTTTTCTTCTGTTTCTTTACTTTATCCTGTAGAAGATCAAACCTTTATTTGCACCAGCATTGGAGAAAGAGTCAGAGAGCATGGAAACAGACCCTTCAGTCCAACTCAGCCATGCTAACCAAATATCCTAAATAAATCTAGTCCCATTTGCCAACATTTCGCCCATACCCCTCTAAACCCTGATTATTCATGTACCTATCTAGATGCCTTTTAAATGTCATAATTGTATCAGCCTCCACCGCTTCCTCTGGCAGCTCATTCCATACACACACCACCCTCGGTGTGAAAAGATGGCCCTTTTAAATATTTCCCCTTTCACATTAATCCTATGCCCCCTAGTTCTGGACTCCTGCACCCCAGGGAAAAGAGCTTGGCTATTCATCCTATTCCATGCCCCTCATGATTTTATAAACCTCTATAATGTCACCCCTCAGTATCTGACATCCCAGGGAAAATAGCACCACCCTATTCATCCTCTCCCTACAGCTCAAACTCTCCAACCCTGGCAACATCCTTGTAAATATTTTCTGAACTCTTTCAAGTTTCACAACATCCTTCCTATGGCAGGGAGTACAATGGATCGAGAAGTCGCAGATGGAATTTAATTTAGATAAATGCGAGATGCTGCATTTTGGAAAGCCAAAACAGGGCAGGACTTATTCATTTAATGGCAAGGTCCTGGGGAGAGTTGCTTAACAAAGAAATCTTGGAGTGCAGGGTCATAGTTCCTTGAAACTAGAGTCACAGGCAGCCAGGATAGTGAAGGTGGTGTTTGGTATGCTTGCCTTTATTGGTTGGTGCACTGAGTAAAGGAGTTGGGAGGTCATGTTGCAGCTGTACAGGACATTGGTTAGGCAGCTTTTGAAATATTGCATTCAATATTGGTCTCCCTGCTATAGGAAGGATGTTGTGAAACTTAAAAGGGTTCAGAAAGATTTACAAGAATGTTGCCAGGATGGAGGGTTTGAGCTATAGGGAGAGGCTGAATAGGCTGGGGCTATTTTCCTAGGAGCATCGGAAGCTGAGGGGTAACCTTATCGAGGTTTATAAAGTCATGAGGTGCACGGACAGGGAAAATAGACAAGATCTTTTCCCTGGCGTTGGGAAGTCCAGAACTAGAGGGCATAACTTTAAGGAGAGAGGGAAAAGATATAATAGCGACCTGAGGGGTAAGATTTTCATGCAGAGGGCGGTACATGTATGGAATGAGCTGCCAGAGGAAGTGGTGGAGGCTGGTACAATTACAATATTTAAAAGGCATCTGGATCGGTACTTATCAATAGGAAGGGTTTAGGGGGATATGGGCCAAATGCTAGCAAGGTAGATGAAACCAGAGCTTTGATTTGTACTTGGAGCTATGCCAGGCAGCATCAGAGGAGCAGGAAAGCTAATGTTTCGGGTCAGGACCCTTCTTCAGAAAACCGTTATCTCTGACTCCAACATCGGCAGATCTTACTACCTCACTTGGAGCTTTGACATTATTGCGATTATGGAGGCTTTGCTGAAAGAAGGAAAGCTGGATTCTGGATTAATAGTCTAGCAATAGTACCACTAGGCCATTGCCTCCCTCTAATGTTGTTAAACTTGAAAAGGTTCAGAAAAGATTTACAAGGATGTTGCCAGGTTTGGAGGGTTTGAGTTATAGGGAGAGGCTGAATAAACTGGGGCTATTTTCCCTGGAGTATTGGAGGCTAAGGGATGGCCTTACAGAGGTATATAAAATCATGAGGGGCATGGATTGGGTGAATAGCCAAGGTCTTTTGCCCAGGGTGGGGGGTGTCCAAAACTAGACGGCATAGGTTTAAGGTGAGATGGAAGAGATTTAAAAAGGGACCTAAGGGGTAACGTTTTCACATAGAAGGTGGTGCACATATGGAATGAGCTGCCAAAGGAAGCGATGGATGCTGATACGATTACAACATTTAAAAGGTATCTGGATGGATATATGAATAGGAAGGGTTTAAAGGGATAATCGGCCAAATGCTGGCAAGGTAGATGAACCCAGAGCATCGGTTAGTTCTTGGAGCTATGACACTATTGCGATCACAGAGACTTTGCTGAAAGAGGGACAGGACTGGCAGCGAAATGTCCCAGGATTTAAATGTTTCAGGTGTGATAAAAAGGGACATAAAAGGGTGGGGGAGTTGCATTGCTGGTAAAGGGGTATCTCACAGTTGTACTCAGGGAGGATACATCAGAGGACTTGTGCAGCAAGGCAGCATGGGTAGAACTCAGGAATAGGAAAGGTGAAATCACAAGGATGGGGCTATACTACAGGCCTCCCAACAGCCAGCGTGAGTTAGAGCAGAGAATATGTAGTCAGATTTTAGAAAGATCTAAAAACAGCAGGATTGTTGCGGTGGGTAATTTTAACTTTCCCTGTATTGACTGCAACTCACTTTGTGCTAGGGGCTTGAATGGAGCAGAATTTGCAAGGACCATTCAGGAAGGTTTCTTGACACAGTATATAATCAGTCCAACCAGGGAAAGGGTTATACTGGACCTGGTTTTGGGAAATCAGCCTGGCCAGGTGAGTGAAGTTTCAGTGGGCGGAACACTTCAGGAGTACTGACCACGAGTTTTAAGTTACTTGAGGACAGGGATAACAGCAGTCCTTGGGTGAAGGTGTTAAATTGGTGGAAGGTAAACTACGACAATATTAGGCAGGAAGTGGAGAGTGTTGAATGGAGGCTGTTTGAGGGTAAATCCACATTGGACTTTTGGGAGTACTTCAAACAGCAGTTGATAAGAGTTCAGGGGCGGCACATTCCTGCAAGACTGAAGGACAGGTATGGCAAGTTACACGAACCTTGGAATGACCAGGGATGTCATGACCTTAGTCAAAAAAAAAAAGGAAACATATTTAAGGTCCAGGAGGACAGGAACTGACAAAGCCCTTTAATTATATAAGGAAACTAGGAAAGAACCTAAGCAAGGAATTAGAAGGACTAAAAGGGGTCATGAAAAGTCATTAACAAACGGGATTAAGGAGAATCCCAAGACTTTATATACATATATAAAAAGCAAGAGGGTAGCCAGGGAAAGGGTTGGCCCACTTGAGGACAAAAGGAGGAATGTATGCATGTGTAGAACCAGAAGAGGTAGGGGAGGTCCTAAATGAATACTTTGTATCATTATTCACAAAAGAGAAGGAATTGGTGGAGGATGATCTCAGGGAAGGGAGTGTCGAATTTGTGAGCTATTAAAAAGGAAGCAACTGTATGTCTTAAAAAGTATTAAGATAGATTAGTCCCCGGGTCCTGATGGGATCTATCCCAGAATATTGAGGGATGCAAGAGAACAAATTGCTGGAGCATTGACATAAATCTTTGTATCCTCTTTGGCCACAGGTCAGGTTCCAGAGGACTGGAGAATAGCTAATGTTGTCCCATTGTTTAAAAAGGGTAACAGGGATAATCCAGGAAATTACAGGCCTGTGAGCCTCACGTCATTGGTAGGGAAATTATTGGAAAAGATTCTCAGGGGCAAGATCTATAAGCATTTAGAAGCAAATGGACTGATTAGCGATAAAAAGCACAGTTTTGTGCAGGGGCGGTCATGCCTCACTAACCTGATCGAGTGTTTTGAGGAGGTGATGAAGATGAATGAAGAGGGAAAAGCAGTTTATGTTGACTATGTGGATTTCAGCAAAGCCTTTGGCAAGGTCCCTGATGGAAGACTGGTATAAAAGGTGAAATCACATGGTATCAGGGATGAGCTGTCAATATGGATACAGAACTGGCTTTGTCGTAGGAGACAGAGGGTAGCAGAAGGATGCTTTTTGGAATGGAGATCTGTGACTAGTGGTGTTCCACAGAGATCAGTGCTGGGACCTCTGCTGTTCATGATCTACAGAAATGATTTGATGGAAAACAGAGGTGATCTAGTTAGTAAGTTTGCAGACGATACAAAGATTGGTGGAGTTGCAGGTAGTGAGGAGGATTGTCAGAGGATACAGCAGGATATAGATCAGTTGGAGGCATGGACAGAGAAATGGCAGAACGAGATGAATCCAGACAAACGTGAGGTGATGCATTTTGGAAGGTCAAGTACAGGTGGAAATTATACAGTGAATGGCAGAACCCCGAGGAGTATTGATATGCAGAGGGATCTTGGTGTGCAGGTCCACAGATCACCAAGGTGGCTACGCAGATACCTAAGGTAATAAAAAATGCCTATGGCATGCTTGACTTTGTGGAAGGAGCACTGAGTATAAGAATAAGGACTGCAGCTTTATAGAACTTTAGTTTGGCCACATGTAAAATATTGCATATAGTTCTAGCCACCACACTACCAGAAGGATGTGGATGCTTTGGAGAAGCCACAGAAAATGGTTTAGCAGGATATTGCCTAGTATGGAGGAATTTTAGCTATGAACAAAGGTTGGATAGACTGGAGATAGTAGGAACTGCAGATGCTGGAGAATCCGAGACAACAAGGTGCAG